GGGGGGATGGTGGTTTTGGCGAGTCTTCGTCGAATATGGATGTGTCTCAGAGCTTAAAAGAGACGCATGTTTTGGGAAAAGGGGTAGTTAACAGATATATCATGATATATTATATATATATGATATTGATGAGTTTCGACACAGACGCAGCAGCAAACCGTTGATTGGGTAGTTCTTGTACTGAAACAGGCTGTTGAACCTTTGTTGTCATTGTTTGGTCCTAGCAGGCTTAGACGTTGGCAGATTTGGACCCAGCGTCCCACGAACTCAAAGTAGGACCCTCAACCAATGAGGATGCCTTTCTTTGTGGCCACATGAAAGAAAACAAGTATATAAGTATAGTTTCAGCCCCGTCAAAACCACCCCAGTTCCTTTTCTCATGAGGTTTTTGAATTCTGACAAAAGGGTGTCCTTCAAACGGTTTGGACAATTTTGTTCCCTGCAGGTGCAGCAGGACGTTCCGTATCCTGGTATTGACAATCTGATGGCCCCTTTTCCCCTAAATGGTCCTACCCCAAGCTAGGGTGGACGTTTTCCACAAAGCAACACATGCTTCCTGTTTTGTTTGCTTTTATTCTACGATTCTACTGGATGTTTTGGGTTAATGTAAAATATGTTTGGTCAGTTTCCGAAGCAACTAAGAGGTATGGTCCCATCTCGATCGCATTGGCAGCCTAAGTCTTGCGGCATCCTCACTGCTAAATGCCGGGTTGAGCATTGGCAGCATGGACCAGACCGCAATGCAAGCACTCGGGGGCTAGTGAGCATTCGGAGCTGCAAAACACAGCTGAGAGCCGCAGAATTTGGCCTGTGGAAGGCTTCCAAATCCCAAGTTCCAACTTCAACTCCTGGCAGAAGCCATTCGGATACGTGAGCTACTAGTGCAGTGTGCAAAAATGCAACACACTGGATGCACATGGCACTAGCATCGGTCACATGAGAGTAGTGAGTAGTGCGCAGAGGGAAGTCACTTGTCAATATGCTCTTAGAATTAGGGTGATAATTTGCAAATTCTGCTTGCGCTGATGTGAAGTGCAATTGTCGACCATCTCAGATTTGTTGCAGAGACAGGCTTGTGCATTTGTCGCTGAGGTGAATACCTGCTCCGCCACCATGATGGAGCTCTTCCTCTTTCAGCACATGTGGCCTGGCCTAAGCGAGGTCAAAACTCACGACGGCCTTCAAGGGCAAGGCTTGAAAGATTTTGAAAGACTGTACCGAAAATCATATGCCAAAAATAAGGCTCACATTAAGCCAGAAAACAACGCCCAGGAAAATGGTGATTCTTTGGAACACGTGACGGTGCCTGAACATGTGAACATGGCCAGGTGCACCGCTGAGGACGGCGGGGTGTATGTGTCCCCAGACTCTTCAGACACGCAGGCGCCTTTCCGGAGTGCAAGACGAGACAGCTGTAGCTGAGTTGTTCAAAGTCGATTCTGAAGACTCAAATGGGGCGCTCCTTTGGCCAAGGGAACCTCATCCAGCACGAAAGACGAGTCTACAGGTCAATGGTGAAGTGCCTGGGCCCTGCCTGGGCACTGAAGAGTGAGGGTCCTGGAATGTCCTGGATGTGTTTGTATTTGTTTGTTTGCTGTTGACCCCCTGTGAATCCACATATATATCTTCTGAGAAGGTGATTGGAGAGTATTGAAGTAGGCGCCAGGAGGGCCCAGTCATACCTTCTGAGAAGGTGGCAGTGGATCCATAGGGACACGATGAAAACCAACACCACGATGAAACCGCAAAGGTGCCATACCTCTTTGTGTCGCAAAACGGACAGAGTTCGGCTCAATGGCTTGGAATCAGAACTGGAAGTTGGAAGAGATCCAACGGAATGAACAATTCATACAACATGTATTTGGATAATATGTTGTGTCAATATGTTTCAATAGTTTGCAGGGTTGTTGGATTAAGTGTTGAGCTTGCCAAAGTGCCATCGAGCCTAACCTTTCCGCCACAGTCATGGAGGTGAATTTTGGCATCCATCAAGATGTGTGGCAGGATGCATGGATTGCGGCCACGACAGCTGTTCGGGCTAGGAAGCGTCAGATCGACTTGAACGTGCAGGAGCGTGTACGGCGGCTCTTGTCCGATTTTGGACCTCAGACAGGAAAGGCATTGAGCTTGCGAGTCTATGGGACCATGATCAAGGGTTTTTGCATCTCAGATTGCCAGTGGATATACTATTGAAACATTTTGAAATCTTTTGGATGATGGTGGACATGAATTATGCATATTCATAATTCTTTGGATTTGGTCAACTCTTTGCACCTTTACCCAGTGTTTCACCTGTTCCGTCACCATGCAGGCGTGATTAACAATGACCGGGCCAAAATCTTGCACAGCGACTGTGAGCGAATGGTCTTGCTCTTTGCCGAACAGCCCTACTCAGAGCCGGTGATGAAGTTGCCTGCTGCGAAGAGGCAGCGGGTGGATGCATTGACCTTGGACCTCACACGTGTCCACGCGGCAGAGGCCTTTGATTGGACAGCCACACCCTTGGAGATGCTAACTTTGGAGGTGCGAGTCTGACTCCAGATCTGTGATGGACATCTTTAAGACAAAGCCACTGTGGCATCGTATTGAAGAAATCAACGGCCCCTATCGGAAAACATCGCTTCGATTGGACAGGATGGACCTCCGCTGATGGACGAAGAAGGACCAGTTCACCTCGAAGAACCCCGGCGGGACACATCCGTCAGGACACCTCGGGGTAGCCTAGGAGAGCAAACACGTTCCCTGTTGTACATGTACCAGTTCACCTGGCTGCACAACCCTACAGGTCTCCCTTCCAGGACACCCATGACTGGACCCGGAAGCGCATGGAAGTGCAAACCAAGATCTTTGTTCGTTTTCCAGTTGGCTTCTCCTCCGCAGGTGGAGCGCCTCCCTGAACCACCGGACAGCTCTGATTGGGCCGTCGCAGTGCCAGCGCTGGACGAAGCGGCGGGCTCGCTGCTGGTCACGAACTTCTTCCCCGAGCAGCCGATGCCTGCAGAGCCGCAGACGGAGATGCACGAGCCGCCACCCGCGCAAGTGGAGGTGCCAGGCGGACAGCCCGGGTCACTTGGAAGTTGAAAGTTGAAAGGATATAAATCTATCTATCCGAGAGGAATTTCCTCTAACAGGCAACTGCCGTGCTCTGGATTTGGGTGATTATATAGTTTACCAGATGTTTACAGGTACCTCCGCAGCGACCAGGTCAGCGCTTGAGATGGCAGAGCCTGACATGGATAATGCTTTGGAGCGGCTCGAGCCTCGAAGGCCCAAACGGAGGCGCCGACTTCCGATCCCCGGACATGTCCTGGGCGTGGACGAGACCATGGAGCTGCCAGAAGCTCACGTCGAGGCATGGACCGGTCGTTTGCCGGTCGTGAGCCGAGTGTGATGTGTTGCGTGTGCTGTTGCGTCATGTTTCGTCAAGATGATCAGATGATCCATCCCCCTCCGTTTCGAAGATGGGCCAGGGGTGGGTTTGGGGGGTCCAACCACCGGAGCCCGAACGCGCACGTCCTTGTTTCGAGACGCAGGTCCAACCACCGAGGTCAGGTGGGAACGGCGGAGACATGCGGAGACCTTGAGACCTTCTCAAGATGTGGACATCCTCTTCGGGGTTCGCTTCAGGGACGGGCAGAGAAAACCCTGCCCCCCCCCCCGGCGTTGTCCATCAACGTTCTTGAGCTTTGTGACCAACGTCACACGTGGAATGACACTGTTTAGATATTAATTCAAAGTGGAAAATCCATGAAAATCCATGAACAGCACAGAAAATCCATGAAAATCACAGAAAATCCATGAACATCAATGAAAATCCATGAACATCACAGAAAATCCATCATGAAAATCCCAGAAAATCCAATGAAGATACTCCGGTTTTCCAAAGGAAAGTCATTTTTGAAGGGGAGCATTCCATCCACTTGCGCCATGCGATGTGACTGGACCGGCCTGTCGTGCGACCAGGTCGGAGCCTTGACCTCCAAGATGTTAACCACCTACTCCGAAGAGCTTCTTGAGAGGTGTTTGGTGTGTTGATGTTTCTTCCTTTCATACTAACATGAGCATACATGTCCAGATCTTGCTTTAAAAAAAAAAAAAAACAAAAAAAAAACATGTAGCATAACATAGTATAAACGTACATAAGCAGGACACATCTGATTTGAGATCTTACTGTAATTTAAATTTGATTTCCTCTCAATCCATTTGGCTATTTCCTTTTCAACATCAATTGCATTTTTGTGTGGTTATGTTGTTGTTGTTGCTGTTGTTGTTGTTGTTGTTGTTGTTGTTGTTGTTGT